GCCTTGAACTCACCAAAAGACCATTCCTGTGGGTCGTGCGGGGAAACACGACAGAAGACGTCGACAATGCATACCCAATAGGGTTCCACGAAAGAGTGCAGAATTGGGGAAGGATGGTAGCTTGGGCACCGTAGCAAAACGTCCTATCCCATCCTTCCATTGCCTGTTTCATTAGCCACTGTGGTTGGAATTCCACTATCGAAAGCATAAGCAATGGAGTCCCTTTTCTGTGTTGGCCGTATTTCTCGGATCAAATGTTCAATCAGAGCTATATTTGTGATTGTTTGAAAATAGGGTTGAAATTGAATAAAGATGACGGTGGAATTATTAGGCATGAAGAGATTAACAACAAACTAGAACAACTTTTGGGTAATGAAAGATTTAAAGAATTGGCATTGGATCTTCAATCAAATGTCCTAAACAGTGTTCGAGAAGGAGGGAGCTCTTATAATAATTTCAAGGATTTAGTAGCATGGATTAAGGATTGAAAAATGATTTTGTTCTAGATATCCTATTATTATTTTCATATTAAATATGTATCATTGGCATTGATAGTATTGAGTGCAAATTTGGTTAATCTTACGTAATTTTCAATATAATATTTTGTGTTTATTAAAGTTAAAAATGTTAGGGCTTGCTTGGTTAGTGTTTCAATTTTTAGTTTTTAGTTCATTTTCAATTTTCTATTTTGAGGGTCTATGATAGAGCCCCCTGTTATTGCTGCGCAGCTATGGAAATCCCTTGCAATTGCTGAAATGGTAAACTGTGGAACAGTTGTTCAATAGTAATATCGGCTAAATATTATGATAAACGGATATGGAATGGAATGGAATGTAATGTAGATTTATTGATTGAACTGGAAGTGAAAACAAAGAATGAAATACTGGAATGAGGAAACAGAAATTGAAACTCTAGGCCTCCCTTCTATAGCACTATTATCCACTAGCCCTTCCAGCTAACTGAATGGTGAATCCCCTGAATCTGAGGTGACCTGTCTACCTTACAAATGGTTGTGTTAACCCTTTTTATTTTTCTTGAATAGGTGATCCTAATTGGGAGTCTATCATTACCTGTCGCTCCAAAATCCACCTTGTTCTCCAGGTGAAAATGTGGTTCAACTTCAAAATTTGGAACCAATTTTGGAGTAAGCTTGTTGTAGCTGTAAACTTGTATAGTCAATTGACCACCTACAATTAGAATGGTATCAATGCAAACCCCATAGCCGAATGCGCCCATGCACAAATTTTTGAAGCGAGTTCGGCTATTCAAATTAAAGTTATGTATATCCCCATATTTGATTATCACCATACCTTCCTGCTTCATTAATCTCCCTTCTATTTTCTTGGTCATAGATGCAATCAAGCTTGCTATCGTATTTTGGAAAAACTCCACCCAATCTTCCATCTCGTCCTCCTCTAACACCTTCACTTGGACCTCTCTTTCTTCATCTTCTTGCAATACCCTTACCAAGAGCTCCTTATTTATGCACCTATGACTTGGGTTGTATTTTTCATCATAGCAGTAACAAAGTCCTCCGGCCCTTTTTATCTGTAGCTTGGCATCGGGCAATTTCTTAAATGGAGGCTTCCCTTTCGTCGCTATTGAAGGACTTAGGATTGTAGCTGGATGGGTTTTCTCACTATTCGATCGTGCCGCTTTGGAATGATTTGGGTTAAGTGTTGGGGGGTGTTTTGATATGGCTAAAGTTGTAGGCTGTTGTAGGGTAGCAGGCTTGGAGAGATTTTATTTCCGGCAATTTACAAACATATTCTTAAAATTAGGGATTTTTTGAAAAATCATATGAAATATATTTCAAAAGTAAAAAATATTGTATAAAATTTGTGTCACATTTTTTTTTAATGAAAAAGTGGCACGATGTCACTTTTTATACAATGTACTTTTTAAAGTTAAGTATTACTTTTTATTAAAAAGTGACAAATTTCAAGAAGTGACAAAAAAAATAATAATTAATGTTAAAAAAAAGTGACAATTTTTTTTTTAAAGTGGTATATGTTCAAAAAATTGACAAAACACCAATTAAAACATTGAAATCAATTAAATAAAGTGTATAGAAATGAAAAAAAAAAATTTGGCGAGACAGCAATGTCTCTTTTCTTTCTCCGTTCACCTCAAACATCTTTAAGCCCCCATTTGGCCCCCATTTTTTGAAATGAAAATGGGTGGAATAATGTTTTTTGAAAAATGAGTGGTTGAAAAAAAAAAAAGTTTTCAATTTATGTGTAATGTTATTTTATGAAAGATTGTATAGTTGAAAAAATAGAAGAGAGAAAAATGAAATAGAATTTAATAGGGGCCAAACAAGGACAAAATTAGTTCACTGATAAAATATAATCAAAATGCCAAACATCTTTAAATCAATTAATCACCACAGTCATCTATGAACTCAACTGATGACACAATTGCTATTCCTCCACTTTCTCCATCATTGCCACTATTACTACCAATAGAACAAAGCCTAAGCACAAAAAACTAAACACATAAAACAGAAGAAAAACGAACTCAAATACGAACATATTAAAAAAAAAAAAAGGTGATAAATAGTATTCAAAACATTGACAAACACTAAAAAATTGGCAAAAATTTTAAAAGGTCACGATCACTTAAAAAAGTAACAAAACGTCAAGTTGGCCATTTTCCATTTTGACCATTTTTTTTTTTTTTACCATCTACCACAATGGCCTTTTTATGCATAAAAGACAAAATTACCCTTATGTATGTTATACAATTACAAAAAATATGGTATTGTTTTAAAAGACAATAATATCCTTTTAAGTTACAAAGAATTCCAAACACTTTCCACTTTAAAAATTTAATACCAAGCCACTTTTTTTTTATCTATTTACTCATATGTAGATAAAAATTGTTTCATTTTTTATCTGCTTCAACCTTGAAATCTCATAAATTTATCAAACTCTCAACAAAAAAAATAATGTTTCTAGCCATCGTTTGGAATTGATAAGTATATATTTACGTACTTTTAATTTCATTTTCATTAAAATAGTAAATTATTTTAATCGTTAAATCTTATTTTTACATAAGTAGATAAATTTTTACAATCTTAAGCAGATTTATAATTTTTTGAAGCAAAAAGAAAAAAAATTCATCTACGTAGACTAATAGCCAGCTGAAAAACCCATGGGCCAGGTGGCTAGGCCTTCTGTTTTCCAACTGGTCGATCGAAAACAGATGGCCCAGTCATCTAGGTCGTCGGTTTCCATACGACTTGATCCAACTGGCCCAATAGGTTTTTCTTCTCCTTTTTTATCTCCTAATTATATTTTTAACAAATTATGTTTCCTAATGCAAATATGTGATCAACTGTAGTCTCGATTTGTTACTTTGGTGAATTTGAAATTAATGAAAATGATCGATAGTTGTGGAAATAGATGAGTGAAAAATATGGTACTACTGCAATTATGATAAGATCGAGTACATCATATGCAAAAATGTACTACGATTTACAGAAGAGCTCAACATCTATCCCTCTCAGTACGACGTGAAATTAGGATTTCTATTCAACGAGCATACATTCATTTCAATTTTACCTATAATGGTTACTTTCGAAGCTGAAATGAAAATTTTAATTCAATTGAACCAAAATCGTACGACTCCTATTTGCATAATTTTAGTTAAGAAAATATCCTCGAGAGTGAACACAAAAATTCCGATGAATAGGATCGTGATGTGAATAATATTTGTGACACGGTGGAGATAGTTCGTGTAGATGATGTGACTATTTTTGAGACAGTTGTTCATCACCATAATTTCACTGTTATGCACAGAATTCTCTCTATAGTTCAAAATAACAAGAATGAAAAATGAATTT